TGTCATGTAGCATTGACATGCATGACTGAAATGTCACTATCTCTTGGCATGCGTGACTGAGATGTCATGTAGCATTGGCATGCGTGACTTAGATGTCACTATCTCTTGACATGCGTGACTGAGATGTCACGTAGCATTGACATGCGTGACTGAGATGTCATGTAGTATTGGCATGTGTGACTGATATATCATGTAGCCTTGGTCTGCGTGACTGACAAGTCATGTAGCATTCGCATGCGTGATTGAGAATGCAACGTTACCATTATAAATAGCCATATTCGTGTTCATTTATTCATTCAACCTTTTAACCTTGTTCCTTATTCTTGTGAACCTTCTTCTTCTAAAAATGTCTTCAATCTATGTCATTGTTCACTCTGATAGTGCGATTAACCAATGTCCTAATGAAGGAGTCACGTTCACCTCAATATCAGCGAAATTAGTACATCTAAAGAGAGGAGTGACTCTACAAAGGCTCAAGAAAGTCATCCACACAAAACTTAACCGAGACTCAAATGAAAGGATGACAACCATATATTTTCGCTACCCAATTAGACTTGGCCCGAGAGTTAGCAACTACACATGTGTTGAGTTGAACGATGATGAAGATGTCGAGGCACTCTTCAACATCCATGATTCAAATCAACTTCAATCAAGTATAGAATTATATGTTACATTTGCTATAAACGTAATCCAGCCACCACAACTTTCACCTTCACCTTCACCTTACCAAACCATAAATCCATCCTTTTCAACATATGATATAAATTCTGACCTTCAGTCCTACACACAACTTTTAACTGGTCCATTCATGGACCTCAATGAAATACCCTCCGAACCATTTAAGCAAACCCTATCTTCTCAGCCTCTTGAAGAACATGTTGTTGTGGGTCTCCCAATCGAAGTATTTGATCCTTTTAACGAGGACGAAGATGAAATCCTATCTCAACAGCAGGATGATGAAGAAGACTCCCTCCCACTTCCAAATATTCCGCTATCACAATCATTACCATTATACAACCCACCTCCACATTTTCTAAACATTCCCAGTCAAATACAAGAACATGACTCTGAGTTTGGCCATGTCCTTGATCGTGAAATGGTAGTGTATCCGCCTGGAACACTATTTGTTGGCCAACGCTTCTCAACAAAAGAACAAGTCCAAGATGCCATAAATAGATTTCACATTGTCAATCATTGCACTTACAAGATGAAAATGTCAAGCACAACTAGGCTTGTCGTCGAATGCGTTCACAACGACTGTGCCTGGAGATGTCGCGCTATATTGCGCACCAAAGAGTAACACTGGGAAATAATGAAGCTTGAAGGGTGCCACACATGTGCTTCCCCAATCATTTCACAGGATCACAACAAGTTGGGATCACGAATGATTTCTCAAACCATTCGTGAAATTATTGAGACTGATCCATCCACACCTATCGCAATCATCTTGGCCCACATAAAGTCCACAATGGGTTATACAATCAGCTATAGAAAGGGATGATTGGGGAAACAACATGCCATTGAAAATATCTTCAGAAATTGGGAGGAGTCTTACCATAAGTTACCTAGACAGTTGCTTGCAATGCAACTGTATGTTCCAGGCTTCATATGAAAATTGAGTACACAATTGGCATACAACGATGGCTTGCTTGACGAGGGGAATGTGTTCTTCAAGAGGTTGTTTTGGACCTTCAAGGCATACATTGATGGTTTTGCCTTTTGCAAACCAATTGTTCAAGTGGATGGAACATTTTTTATTGGCAAATACAAAGGGACTTTATTAGTGGCAGTTGCACAAGACGGCCGCAACAACATAATTCTCATTGCCTTTGCTGTGGTTGAAGGTGAAACTAGCGATGCATGATTCTTTTTTTTAAAAAACTTAAGGAGGTACGTAACCCCACAAGAGGGGTTGTGCCTCATTACGGATCGTCACGAGGCCATAAGAAGTGCATACTTGAGAAATGGAAGTGGTTGGACAGAAAACAATTCTGTCCATGTCTATTACATTAGACACATTGCATAAAACTTCATGCGACGATTCAAAAATGTTGCACTGAAGAAAGATGTCGTCAATATGGGTAATCTTAATTTTTTACATAGTCTATATTATCATTAATATTTTATACAATTGCTTAGCTAATTATATTAATTTAATTTGTAATATTGTTTTCAGCATATGGGATGGCTGAATCGAGATTCTTTTACTATTACAACATAGTAAAAGATAATAATCTTGAAGCTGCACAATGGTTAGACAACATTCTAAGGAAAAATGGACACTGGCATGGGATAACGGACGACGCTAGGGACACATGACAACAAACCTAGCGGAGTCAATCAATTCGGTCATGAAGAAAACCAGAAACTTACCCATTTGCTCCATGGTCATGGCAACATACACCAGTTGCAATAAGTTCTTCATTGACAGAAGCAAGGAAGTAGATGCAATGATTAATGCTAGACATATGTACTCAGAGGTTGCAACTAAAGCAATTCGAGATGCACAGTCAAAGGCGAACACCCATAGAGTCATCACCTTTGACAGAACAACCACTAGATTTTTAGTCGAAGAAATGCAACATCCGACAGAAATTTGACCCGTAGGAAGATTTACAGTACGGTTAGATGAAATGTGGTGTGATTGTGGCAAGTTTCAAAAAGTTCACATTCCATGCTCGCATGTAATTGCTTCATGCTTACACACACACTACAACTTTGACATCTACATATCTCTTGTGTATACCTTACAACAAGTTTCTAGGGTATACGAAGGTCAATTTGGAAAACTCAGACACGAAGACTATTGGCCAAATTACACGGGCCCAACTTTGTGTCCAAATCCAGAACTGAAAAGAACTTCAAAGGGTCGACCCAAGTCTTGTAGGATAAGAATATAGATGGACATTAGAGAACAACAAAGTCGAGTAAAAAATTATTCTTATTGTCATACCCCTGGTCACACAAGAAAGACATGTCATTTTTAATTCTATGAATGCCATTGTATCTTTTAAATTTTTAGTATTTATAATTTATATTCAATATATATATATATATATATATATATATATATATCTACATGATATTATTTAATTATATTTATTATTATTAATAACATATTTTTAAATAAATAATTATGTATAAATATTAATATATCATAATAAATAAATAAAATGGTTATTATTTAATACTTTATTTATTTTATAAATATATAATATTAAATAACAAAAATATAATTTTAGAATATAATATTAATATCATTTTCAAAAAAATTATATTAAATAATATAATAAGAAAAATAAAAATATTATTTATTATCTTAAATATATCAAATAAATTTTAATAAACATTAAAATTAATATTATTACTATTTTTATTTATTTTTAAATAATATTAAAATAAAAACAAAATTTAAATAATAAAATTTATTTTATTATATATAACTAATAAAATATTTATTTTAACAAAATAATAATATATAAATATAATTTAAATAATAATATTTATTTTTATAAAAAAAAAACAAAAATCTAACTCAGAATTAGGTCCCCAGGAGACCGAATTCTGAATTGCAACAAAAATGGGTCCATTCGTGTAGTAAAATTGGTAATGGGTCTATATGAGAAATTTTTTTTTTTGGAGTCATTTTACGGTAAAAAACTCCCTCTTGGGTCAACCCAGTGTAAGCCATAAATCATTCTGTTTGATAGCAAATAAGGTAAATGCTAGCCTGGGTCTATCTCATTAACAAAAGTATATTATTTTTTAGTCAATCTGATCTTGTCCTACTTAGATTTGGTCTTAATTAAATTGTACATATTCATCAGTTTATTTATTTTGTATTTAGGGACCTGTTCAATTTAAAACATTAGTCAAGTAAAAGAATTAGAGTTAAATAAGAAGAAATAAGTACAATCTATTCCATGAACACCTCTAAGAACAGTAACCACTTAAAAATAAAATTGGTGAACAAGTTGTCTTTCATGAGCTCTGACTCAGTCAACCCACTGTTAATATATATATATATATCCAACCCACAACCTACAACCCACTGTTATATAGTATTTGGATAACCGAATTCTTTTGAGGCTCATTTTTTTTCACATGGTATTTGAAAATATATATGCCAAAATATAGGATTTTAGGGAGAATGATAAAAATATGGGAATTGAATAAAATTAGTTAATTTTATAAAATTCAAAAATAGAATTAACTAATTTTATTTTTTAAATTTTATATTTTCATAATTCTTTCCAAAATTTCATATTTTAGTATATAATATTTTTAATTTTCATATTTAAATTAATTCCCCTCCTTTGAACTCAGTTTGCTTTTAGTCCACCCGTTTAACTCACAGGTCAAGTTAGTTGAATTGGACCAAGCCACCGGCCAACCTGTGACCCAACATTTATATAAAACTCAATTCATTCCATAGCCCAAATCATATTTTTTAAGAATTTATAACAAAAATCTTTCAGACCCTTTTTCCCAAAAATAAAGTTTACTCTTTCCCTAGTGATTCACCATCAGTAGCCACCACACCTTTAGCCATCAGTCATCAAAGGTCCAGCCCAATACTCAACACCGCCATGTAGGATCTATTACGGTTTTAATAGTCTTTTTGATCATTGATCATCTCACTCTGATGTTTTCTTACAAGAGAAAGTAATTAATGAATTATAGTTAGTTTTAATAAGCCTTTCAGTAAACATTTTTGAAAAATTTGAAGTGATATTCCAATGACTGAGATTTTCTAAATAATAGCTTCTTGCCAGGTTAAAACTTCCAACAGTTTTAGAAACTCTCACATCTAAATTAGAACTAAATTATCTCAATTCGAAAGTTTCCATTAGAAGCCAATTTAAACTAGACAACAATAAAATCCTGCGGATAAGAAAAATTGGAAGCTTTTGCAAATGGTATTAAAAAAATCCATTACTTGTGTGAGGAGTAAAGCTCTTAAAAACGAGTCATTAAAATTAAATTAACACTAGCATCATCTAAATAATCTTTTTCTTATGGAAGTATCGCTTCAAATGCCACAACTGCAAAACTGAAACTGCAATGCAGATACCCAAAGACATAATACTAAACCATGCCACCCTGGCATTTGTTGTTTCACTCACGTTCCTCATCTCAGCTTCCCTGAGTAAATATCCAAGGAAAATAAATGATACATCAGAAGAGTTTAAACAATTGCTACATATTTTATTTTGGAAAAGAGGGTGTCTACGTAATAAAAATTACCTGCCCTTGAGATAGATCAAATTATCGTGGATAGCCTCCACTGTTCCTTCTAGCTTTCTCAATTCAAGTTGTACTCCCTGTGCATCAATCACATGTTGAAACTTGTGTCAACTAAAAAGAGCATTATGAAAGCAAATAGAAGAGAAATAAACTTCAAAATTTTCTATTTGTGAAGGGTAGTTTTCGTTCTCATTCAAGGCAGGTGCTACACTACAAATCACGAAATACTTAAAAACATTATAAAACAACACTACAAAATGTCATCCTTTGAGAGGTAAAACTTTTGTACATGAAATTCTGGGGCATGTTGATAAATTATAGATATAAGTGAAACCAATGTTTACCTGAATCTTCTCTTTTTTAGCAACCGAATCCCAATCCTTGGCTGCAATTCCAATTTTCCAATCAAGATCCACACTAACATCCCCCTCTGCTTGACTATGAGCCACCGAGAAGCATGCTAGGTAGTTCCCACTCTCTCGAGTAGTAAAGGCGAAATTACCAATTGTTGTGTTCTCCATGTCATGAAGATTGTTTCCATATGGTGATGTAACCTGAAGAAAACAAATGCTATAAAAGTATGTCTCAAGGTTGTCGCTTATATCTTGATGTTTATTCTTAGACATTGTTTAATGGTGTCTAGAAGAATTGCATGCATTTCACAATGAATAAACATTTTTTTTTCTTTATATCTATCTTATTTAATGCTTTTTTCTCTTATCTCTCTCTCACTTAGTAAAACATATGATTAGAATTTTTAGTGAGAATAACATGCCAGTTTTACATTTATTCAACCCACGTTTCTTTATACAATAAAGACTCTTTCATTTGAAGTAATCATATAATTAAGATAAGGATGCCATCGATCTAGAAACAAGCATCTCAAACATGCGATACAAAATCTTTTAGCAAAGCAAAACCATGCATTTACCGAAACAATATATTGATGGAGACCACAATTGAAGAGCAACCCATGAAAGAAATCGGAAAAGGGTGACGGCATGAAAGGTAAAAATGATACCTTGACGGAAATAGTTGAGTTGTGGGATGGATCATCCCCATTGGCAACGACAACGTAATCAACCAAAACGACGATGTTGTTCTGGATTTCTTCGGAAACGCACTTGATGGCAGAGGTTGGTACGGTGAGCCAGATAGCCCCAGTGGTTGAGAAGAAGCAAAGGAAGAAGAATGCCATTGCCAACAACATCCACATACCTCTGTTCCCCATACCTCTCTTTTCTGCTTCACCTTTTCTCTCAAATTTCTCTGCACAATTGACTCCACAAACAAACAACGTTGAATGAATCAATATTTCTCTCTCTTTCCTTCGATCTATTTTTTATTTTAGGATGTTCTTCCGATGTGCATAACATTTTTGTACCTGCCTCTGCAACCTCCTCAAATTTCTGTTTTTCTTCCTATCTTCATCATTATCATTATTCTTCCTCTACCTTTTTTTTTTCTTTATTTAGTCATTTTTTAAAATTTATAAAAAATAACACTATACTTTGTATTTACTTATATGAAACTAAAAACAATTTTTCCTTGTATTATATAAGTTTATTTAAATATTATTTTTTTTCATTTTGGCACCACTTTTAAAATTGATAAAGATGTTATAAAAATATATTATTTGAATTAAGATAAAGGTGTTTATCAATTTGATATAGTATGTTCAAAAATTAATTAATAAATTTAAAATGAGATTGGTTAAGATTATGGTTTTAAAACTCATTTATCTTAAAAAGTATATATATATATATATCTTTTAAATTTAAAATGGTGTGTCAAGATTTAAAATTTAAAATTAAATTTTACATATTTTAAAATTTATATTACATTTTTAATTTAAATATTTTATCTTTATAATTTTATTTTAATAATTTATTTATTATTAATGCTTAAAATATTTATAAATATATTTAAATTTTTTTATTTTAACTTCATAATAAATTTACAATGCATGAAAAACACACTAGTTTAAAATAAATTATACTCTTTTGCTTTAAAAGATACTTAAAATACACTTTCCTTTTTCTAATTAATGATAAATATAAGATATTCTTTAATTCATTTTTAATATAAACACACCTCCTTAGCTGCAATGAATAATTATGAAAGTGAAAAAAAAATTATGAAAGTGCTTCTTATTGATATTTTATCATTTTTTTTTACAACTTTAAGTATCACAAACAACTGATTTTTAATACTTTTTTCGTCCGCTTTAAACTTTTGTGTACAATCTTTATTCCATCTTCTAAACTTATAAAATTGGTAATAAATACAAAATTTATTATTAATGACACAGAAAATTATTGTACAAACAAAGTATTAATACTATTTATAATAAAATAGATTAAAATATAGTACATATTGACTTTTTATGGAATGAAAATATAATTGAAGCATTCTATATTGAAAGAAAATATGACTTATTTCATGATTTAACATTAGTAAGAAAATTTAAATTTTTTTTGTATCTTAATAATAAAACACAAAATAAATAATAATTTAACTAAATACAAATCAACACAATAAAAAATTGATTGTAAAATATAATGTGTGTTTTGATATTAAATCTATGTTTGCGTTTTTTATATTAAGTCTATAGTGTGATGTTTGCGTTTGATAAGCTTATTTAAATTTATAACAAATAATTTACATATCTTTATAATTTTTAAAAAAATTTTATGATCAAAATTATAACATAAACTTTTATATAGTGAGAATTTATTAAATAAATATTTAAAAATAAGTTGTTTGTCTAAAAGTATTTTAAGTATGTAATCAATAAACTTATCAAACAACTAATTCAATAATTATTTTAATTTAATAAATTAAATCACATAAGTAAATATGAGACCAGATAAAAACTATATATATATATATATATAATTGTTTATATATCTATTAACTGATAAATATCTACCCATCAACTCACCCTCGTTTATTGAATAATTTTTTGTTAGTATGTGAAATAAAATCATGCTTACTCAAATTGTGATGTGGCTGGCCCAGATGAGTTATTAACTCAATTTGTGTTTTCTAGCCTGAAATGGGGCTATTAATTTCCGTGCACTGCAGTGAGATTCATAATAATAATATTATCATTATTATTATTTTGAGATGAGATCAACATTCTGATGTTATGTTTAGATTAATGGTAAACAAATAAATTAAGTTAAAAAAAATAAAATGACTTCAATTTTCATTTCTTAAAAATATTTATCTCAATTTTTATTCTCTCTTTATTAAGGATATGAGATCAAACTAGTTTTTGTTATATTTATTTAATTTTATATCACTAAACAAACATAAAAGGAATTGCTGGATTAAAGAAAACCACCGAATGAAGTGATTTTCCATACAATTTCTACTTTTTGGTTGTTTCTTAATGTTCATCGAATCAGATGGCGTCATTTCTATTTCATATAAGAAAAATATTGTTTCAAAACTCGAATCTCAGATTAATCTTATTAATGAAGATTATTTTTTATAAAAAAATATTTATGATCAGAAAAATTAAATTTAATAAACTAATTCGATCAATAAAAATAATTATAATGAAATTACGAGAAAAAGAAAAAAAGAAAAAAAGAAAAGAAACAAAAAACTTGTGCTTCCTTGGTCTTAAAATCAAAAAGTTTGGTAGCGTGTTCTACACATCAATGATTTTTTCTGCAGATTTTGACTAACGTGAACGGTAACCGAATATTGATGACAAGTTTAATTAGCATCACGAAACATAGCATAAATCTTTTATGCTATTAACATAGCATAAATTTTGAAACTACAGATAGGAAAAATATTATTATGCATATTAGTTTTTTTTTTAATATTATTATTACAGATAGGAAAGTACTACTAGTTGTGGGCTTGTGGGCCTTTATTTTGCAGGGACGGGTCCATGAGCTTGATAGTTTCAAGGCTTCGTTGGAGGAGGATGAGAAGGCCCAGAGGGAGGAACTATGCCTTTGGGTAACATTGGAAAGTGGATTGGTGATGTTGATGATGGAAACGAAGCTTGCATTTGGAAAGCACGTAGATTTCTTGCCTCTGCAGGGAGAAAGAAGACGCAACCGATGAAGGTTATCAGTACAAACACAAAGATAAACGCATTCGCATTCACGCCCTTAGCCATCTTTTATTGATTCTCTCTCTCTATGCCTGTGGATTGGTATGCTCTCCTATCTTCGCTGCCTTAAATAAGAGTTATGAAGCCCCTTTTCTTTTTCCACATTAAATTCTACTACTACTTTCTTCTATATTTTAAGGAGGTGAATTACTCTCAAAGAAAATAGAAAAAAATTGTTGTTTTTTTTTTTTTTTTAATATAATACATGATAAAATAATTAATAAATAACTAATTTAGTAGCTTCTATAATGCATATAATAATATATTTATAATTTAATCATTAAAGAATAAATCATATATTTTTTTAATATTATTTTAAACAATAATTATTTTAAAATTATTTTAACCTATATTTCTAACTACAAATAGTATGCACTAAAATTATAAATATTTAATAAAAATAAATAGTTTTAAAATATAATTTATTTTAAAATAATAATTTTATTGTATAGTGTCAAATTTAAAGGTCAATAACTAATATATATCAATAAACATAAATTTAAAAGATAAAACTCTTAAAAAATTTCAAAATTAAAATAATAAAAAAAATTAAGATAATTTTTATAAATATAAAAATAAGTTTTTGAATATTTAAAAATTTATCTAAAGTAATGAGAGAAAGTTATAAGTAACAATTTTAATCTTAGAATTTTAAAAGAATTAATAAAGATATAGATAAAAAATAAAATCATTACAGTAATAAAGTGTATAGTTTACAAATAATTTTCAGTTAATTTTAATTTAAAAATATACATGTGATAAATCATGATGAAAGATATTTTTATTAATATTTCACTTTCTAACAAGTGCAGTAGTACACTGTTATTTATAATATAAAAATTATTTTTTTTATTAAAAGTTGTGATATTTAATATAATTTTTTAAATTTGTACAATATTGAATGAGATTAAAAAAATTTATATATAATATTTTTTTTAAAATTACAGAATTTAATATAATTAAACGCATCTATACTATTAAATATTATAATTTTTAATAAAAATTACTATATATATATATATATATATATTCTTATGTTGCCATAAAAAGTTATATATAATAATTTTTTAAATAAAAATTACAAAATGCAAAAAAATTTAATGTATTTATACTACTAAATGTTATAATTTTAAAAAATATTATATATAATTTACATTTATGAATATATATTGTGAAAAGTTTTATAAGGTGTTAGCATCTCATGAAATCCTTCTCTAGAAAGTTTCTTTAAACTTTCTATACTTAGAAAGAAATTTTAAAAAATTTATGAAATTTTTTCAAATCTCTCACGTTTAATTTTAACAACCTACTAATATTCCCTTAGAAATAACATGCAGAGAAATAACTCTAAATCATTTTTTCTTTGTTTTCTTGCTCTTTTTTAATGTCATTGTATAAGCTAAATTATTTTTGCTGAATATTTCATTTATGCACAACATTAGTAATGGGCAAAATGTTTGATTTGAATCTAACACTTCAACCTTAACTAGCCAGCACACATACAATTCACAGTTACATAAGGAACCCAAATCTTTATTAAAACTAAATGAATGACATTTTCTGCTATAAATGTATTATTTATAATTATCAAACCAAATTAACTCTTGTTCTTGTTAACAACTAGTTTTCTAACGGTCAATCTTTATTTTTTATATTTATTTATTACAACTTTCTCCCCCATCAAAAAAGGCCTTGCCCCCAAGGCTTATGGCTATATGAGATGTCCTATGGGTTATAATCAAAATTTAGAAATTGTAGCTTCATAGTATGTAATTCCTGACAAATAGCGTCCTTCAAATTCGTGTGCTCTCATTGGATCAGAACCTCTATGATTGTCTGATTCCCTTTCATCTTCATTCTGCAATCAAGGCCAATGGTCTAAGTTGTAACTCACCATCTTCCGTAAGTAAGTAGGGTAACTGCTGAGAAACTAGGTGTTTGAGCGATGCCTCTTCGAAAATGAAACATGAAATACATTGTGTATTTTTATTCCAGTCGATAAGTCCAGCTTATAAGCAACGTTTCCAATGCATTCCAACACCAAATAAGGACCATAGTAGCTTGTGAAAGCAAGTGTTGGGTAATAAGTGCTG